CGAGCCAGTTTCAGGACACTGCCGACATGATTAATATTCTTATAAGAATGGAGAGGCCATCATATTTTCATCTGGCCGAGTGACCAGCTTCATCATGGATGTCCTCCTCGCGAAGGTTGTCGTCGAAAAGATGGTTGATGAAGTAGCGGCTCGAAGTCCTCCAGGCAGGCGCAGCGAAGGTCATGGTGAAGGCTAAGCTATGACATGTATGATTTATGTATGGGCTATACTTTAGGCCGGCTTGTCGAGTGGTAAGGTTGTGCAACACGCAGGTAATTACTGAATATTGAATGCTCAAGTTACTTTACCTTATGCTCCATGTATGTCCGTCGGTCTCGACTTTTAGATCTGGCGATGCCGGCTACGGCTAAGCGCTCACTGATTTTTTGAATTTGAGTGGCCACATGCGACATCACGCCATCCTGCTCCTGAAAGTCACTTGGCAGATCTTTGCATTCGAGTCTGACGTCCACTCGCCGTCCACACAATATTTTCTCGCTGGACTGCTCACTTCATCGCTCCGGGCACAATGCTCATAGTATTGGGAACTCGTGGCGAGATTAAAGTTAGTAAGTGGCCCACGTACTATTCGACCACAAGTTGGAGGGGGCCAATCGCATTGACAGTAGATCACATGGACGACGACGCCATTCATACAGAGCCTGTTGACGAGTTGGCGACGGCAGCCGCACCTGTTGATGCCCCGGTACCATTCAATAAGTCCACTGCAGACGTTATCCTGCGTTCCTCAGATGGCGTGGACTTCCGCGTGAAGAAAGCGATCATCGCGGAGGCATCCACTTTCTTCGAGAGCTTGTTTACTCTGCCTCGACTGCAGGCGGCTAGCGATGAATATAGGGACGGCCTGCCCGTCATCCCGATGACAGAAGACAAGAACACGCTCGAAAAGCTGCTGCGCATATTTTATCCTGTCCGCGATCCGGACATCGACCTACACGAGATCGCGCCGCTCCTGGACGCTGCCAGGAAGTATGACATAGACGTCGTAATGGATGTCATAATGCGCAAACTCGAGGCGTATGCAGTCACTGATTCGCTCGAGACGTACGCTATCGCGATCCGGCATGACCTCCCATCCTTAGCGAAAGCAGCTGCGAGACACAGCCTGGAGGAGAGAATGGACTATACCCCCTTTTCTGAACTCGACAACATCAGCGCCTCTGCCTATGCACGTCTTCTCCTTTACCGCCAGATGTGTAGCGAGGT